GAAAGATGAGGCTTTCTGCTCCCGTAAAGATTTACAGCCTCAGAAACCCTGTGCAGGGTCACTATGAGTCGGAACCGACTCCATGGTACTTAACAACTTAACAAAATATATATATTTTAAATGAAAAATCTAAATTAATACAAGGTAGCTTCAAAACGTTCATTTTGAAACACCATTATCTTTTAATTCCATTCTTCCCTGAACGTTGCAAAGCCCCTTCGTATACTTGTACATATATTTATGATTAATATGAACAGCTGAACAAATTATATATATTAAAACATTTACTACTTTGGAACCCTGTTTTCCTGAATGCCAGTTAATAATTTAACAAAAATGTAACAATTACATTTTACATAGTAAGAGTTTGAAAAATCCATAAAAATAGTCGCCAATTAGGAATGGTCCTGGTGTGGCGCTGTGGGTTAATGCGTCAGACTGCAAAGTGGTTTGAACTGTAAGGTCGGTGGTTCAAGCTCACCAGCTGCTCCTTGGAAACCCTATACAGGGTCACTATGGGTCGAAATTGACTTGATGGCACTTAACAACAACAACAACAATTAGGAATGAAGGAAATACAACTGGGAAAAATCACAGAAATTATTTTGGTATATGCGCTTTGAATTGTTCTAATATTTTGGTCATTTCTAGTCTCACCCGTTACTTCATTTCTATATGCTCCACCAGAGTTTGATAGTTATTTCAAAATGCTCCCTCAATATTTTTAGTTAGACATAATCATGGTTTACTTCTCTTTTAATTTCCTTTGTGATCCCAAGGTTAAGCAGGGAAATAGTTTTCAACACTGGATTTTCAATCAGATAACTAAAAACAAAGCAATAACACTGACCAAAATTTCAGAAATTAGTCCAAGAAAAATGTTGCTAAAAACCATTGCAGTTATTTGGTACATACATCCCTTACTTTCACACAGTACGTGCTCAATACATATTTGTTGAAGAGCAGATAATGCAGAAAAATATTTTGTATGTGCACGTTACTACACTGCTAACTTATTAATAATCTCAACTGATGATTTTAGGTATTGCATATATGGAATACAAAAGATCATTAACTTCTTTGTATAAGTTGGTTCTTCTGAATGTATTGGTTGATTCTTCATAATAGCATTCTTAAATGATTCAATTAGTGGCTCAAGTCAACGAAAACAAGTTGCAACATTTTCTGTCAGTTATCAAAGATTGCCTGATCATCACTTGGGAAGAAATGAAATTTCTTTTTGATGTCTATATATTATTGATTGCAAAATTTGAACGTTTCTTCAAACATGCATTTAGCAACCAGGAGCTTACATACCGTGACGTGGCCCCCAAAGGTATCAAAATCAAAGAACTGGCATTGGTTTTTAGCATAGCAGGAGTCTTCCATCTCTCCTCTGATTACAACGTTCCGTGTGAGAATTCCAACCTCAGCTCTCATGTCTACACCGTCTACAATCTCTCCCATGTGCAGGAACTGAGGTGTTTCTGGTTGATGTGAGCAAGGGAAAAAGAATATTAGAACAAAGAAAATGTGAAGCTTACTTCAAAGACATTCTATAATCCCCGCAAGACAAAATCAACAATGTGTCGTCTTCTCTAGTACCAGTCTGGAAGACGGTCTTGTGGTACAGGGGTCAAAGGGCAGTGGTCTAACCCACAAGCCACTCGGCAGCAGACAGATGTGGCAGTCTGCATCCATAAAAATGAGTCCTGGAAACTCTACAGGGCAGTTCTAGTCTGCCCTAGAGGGTTACTGTGAATTGGAAATAACTCGACTACCAGGGGCTAGAAATGAGAGTACGCTCAGCTGGTCTGAAGTGTGGGGAGGCATATGAGAACTCCCCAACTTGTAGACAGTACCCATTTGACCTAGCTAGGGTGGCTAGCTGACTAGAACTCGACCAGATGAAGATAAAGAAGTTTGATACTGTGAGCAAGTATAAATTGCTACAATTTCATGAATGGGATCTTTGTTTATGAATGCAGTTACTCAAAATTCCAACCAAATGGAGGGATTCTTCATATCAAGGATGAAGCTTTCTTATTCAGTGCACTGGGTTGACAGGATTGGGCAACTTAGATATTGGCTATCAAAAATGGAGGGCTATTTTTGTAGCCACGGAGTGGCTGGCTTGCAAGCTTTCATGAGTGTGCTTAGTATCAGAGCAAGGGGGGTAAGGTAGAATCCCCACTGAATAGTTTTCTTCTTTTCCAGATGAATCTGGTAAAAGGGGATGGGGGATGATGGCGACAGGATTTTATGATTCAGTTGTGAGTAATTGTTGTCAGGATTAATTGTGATTGTCCCAAGTGTAATGCTAGGAGATGTGTAACTAAAATTAGGGAGTCGTTAATCTTTCATTTCAGGAACACAGGATCCCAGGACCATCAAGAAGGAAGAGCATAAGTGGAACATGAGATGCTGCCTAGAAAAGCAAAGTTGGTGACAGAGGCGATGGCATGGAGACACAGAGCAGCTGTGTGCCTACAGGAAGGAGGCTTGCAAAATGTGCCCTTGGACATTTAAACGAATATATATTTTGTTTTGTATGTGTATATCAAAAAAAAAAAAAAAAAAAAAAAAAAAGGCAACCTTGTGGTTAGTAGTTCAATGACTATCCTACGCCATCAAACCAAGATTCCAGATATTCATTTGTTGTTGCTGTTAAGTACCATCGAGTTGATTCTGACCTGTAAAGAACGATCCTATGTAGGGATTTTCCAAGGAGCAGCGGGTGAGCTTCAACCACAGACCTTGCAGTTCAAACTACTTTGCAGTCTAATTCATTAGCCCACAGCACCACACCAGGACTCCCCAGATATTGATGTTGTTGTTGTTAAGTGCCGTCGAGTTGGTTCCGACCCATAGCTACCCTGTACAGGGTTTCCGAGGGTGTAAATCCTTACGGGAGTAGAAAGCCTCATCTTTCTCCCGCGGAGTGGCTGGTAGTTTCAAACCGCTGACCTTAAGGTTCGCAGCCCAATTCGTAACCACTACGCTACCAGGGCCTAATGTTGTATCTGCTTCAGCTTCATTGTTAAAGTAGTCTGCAACTGAAAGTTGGCAGTACAGAAATTCTTTTCTTTCTCAACTTTTCTTAATTTAATGTAGTATGCATTCTTGGAGTCCTGGTGTAGCATTGTGGGGTAAAGCGCTGGACTGTAAAGTCAGTTTGAACCACAAAGTCAGAGGTTCAAACCCACCAAACACTCCTTGGAAAGTGTATATAGACTCACTGTGAGTCGGAACCAACTTGAGGGCACTTAACAACAACATTGGAAGTTTGTAGCATTTTAAGAATGAGCTTTCCTCTGAAGCTTATATTATAAGCTCAGAATGGAAAACTCCAAATAAATCATAGGAGCTGAGATCATGAAGACTCATTATACTAGAGGCTTGTAAAAGAACAGTGGGGTTTCCAAAAAGAATGAATACCAGATGGTACCCTAATATTTCTTTCTTTTTTGTTTATACCGAGTATTATCAAGAAGGAAAAGTACAACACTGAATAAAACACAGGGAAAAAGTGCTAAGTGAGTAAATTGTCCTGTGTTTTTGTTTTGTTTTAATGCAAAAGATTTCCCCTTATACTGTACAGCACTTATTGAATAATAGTAACTGTGAACTCTTTGTGTATTGTCTCATAAGTGTATAAAACCTCGAATACAGAAGCAAGAGAAACAATGCAGAGTGAAACACGGAGTGAATCCCATTGTGGTAGTAACACACACACAAGCTTTATGGAGTCCTGCCTCAGAGGAAGGACCTGGAAAAGGTTGATTTCTAAACACTCTGTACAGTTCAGAATCTCACTGTGCATTGCTCATCTGTAAAAAATAAATAAATAAATTTTTTTCTTCAGTATTAGGATGTTGTTATGTGTCGTGGAGTCAGTTCCGACTCATAGTGACCCTGCAAAGGGCTTCCAAGGCTGTAAATCTTTACAGTAGCAGAAAGTCTCATCTTTCTCCTGCGGAACAACTGGTAGTTTCGAACTGCTGACTGGTTCATAACCACTACGCTACCGGAGGATAGAAAATGTAGTTTTATAAAAATACCTTTTGGGTACTTTTACAAAATTACTTTTTTTTTTTTATAAAACTACATGTATTTAGACTACAGTCTAAATATCAGTCAGATCTGCTTTATTGCCAGACATGTAGGTACTTAAAAGTCATGGAACTTTCTGGACTAACAAGAAAGGCTCTTTTAAAAAAGTGCATCTAACTGATAATTTGCTCTGATCAGATGTTGTTGTTGTTAAGTGCTGTTGAGTTGGTTGTAACTCATAGTGAAGCTGTATAGTTTCTGAGGCTGTAAATTTCCACAGAAACAGAAAGCCTCATCTTTCTCCGGAAGAGCAGCTAGCAGACTTGAATCGCTGACTTAATGATTCACAGTCCAGTGTTTATCCTACAGAGCCACCATGCTTCCAAGATTTGATAGTGAAAGGAAAGTAGGAAGATACTGAGGTACAGAAAGTGTTTTGTCTGTGGTACATCATTAGCAGTAACAATTTTTATCTAATATCCTCGAATGTAGAGTTTAATGCACTCCACTCCTAAACCTTCAATTTTAAGTTGATGATGATGCTTGCAGTGGGGACTTATTCAAGATTCACATTCAAAGAAAAGAGTATGTGTTTTTCCCAAGAAGTACACCAGTCTGATACCTTTGATTTTGACCTGGAAACGGCTGCATTCGGGACAGGGTACAAGTGTGAACTCCTCTGCTTGGTACATAGAATAGTCTGTGCTTGCGACCACAATCTGGTCTCCAGCTTGCCAGCTGCTAACATCATCCAGCAAATGAAGCACCACCCCATCCACAACCTCTAACTCGAAGCCTGAGAAAGAAACACCTAAATAACAACAAAAAAATAGAAAAGAAAAAGATGCATTAACAGGATATGTTCTTTATCTAAAAATCAAAAGTTAAGATAAATGCAATTCAGCAAAAATGTATTAATGCCAACCATGGACTATCCACTCTGCAGTTACTAATAATGTTAAAATATAGCTCCTTGCCCTCAGGAAAAGAAGTCTTGGTCGTGCTGCGGGTTACGTGTTGTTGTTGTTGTTACGTGCCGTCGAGTCGGTTCCGACCCATAGCGACCCTGTACAGGGTTTCCGAGGGTGTAAATCCTTACCTCATCTTTCTCCCGCGGAGCAGCTGTTAGTTTCGAACCGCTGACCTTTAGGTTCGCAGCCCGATTCGTAACCACTACGCTACCAGAGCTCCTTGCGGGTTACGTGTAGGGCTTCTAAACTCAAATCCACCAGGCCCTCCATGGGAGAAAGGTGAGGCTGTCTGCTCCCCTTTTAGATTTACACTCTCAGAAACCCTAAGAAACAGCCTTACAGGGTCGTTATGAATAGAAGTCAACTTGACGGCACTGGATTTGTTTTGTTTGCCGGAAAGCCTCATGAAGAGAGGGCACCTTCCTTTCATCTGTTTATTTATTTAATGATTTCTCAGTTTATTTGCACACATGTATTATCACTCCAAGGACTCAGTGTATCATTTCACAAGTCCCCAGTTTCCCTAACCCAACCAACATTTAAAACCTACACACGAGGTGGGGTCCTGAGTAAACAATGCCTAGGACCCATACTGGAGTCCTGGTATAGTGCTGCAGGATAAGCAATGAATTGCTAACCACAAGAGCAGGGTTCAAGCCCACCAGCTGCACCTTGGAAAACTCTATATAGGATCACTCTGAATAGGAACTGACTCCAGGGCACTTAACACACAACAACAACAGGACCCATATCCCAACCCTAGAGGCTGTAACATAACTCATTTAGCAAAAACAGGGAACAAAAGGCCACTGTCCGTGAGACATCCTTGCCCCTTTGTAACAACTGACACACAGACAGCGGGAACCTAGGGGAAGCGCACACATGCCACGAGTGTGTCATACTGTGTGCCTGGAGGGCCAGGGACACAGCTGGCAACCATACCCAGGAAGGCCTGAGGGCCTGTCCTGCTGGAGTCTGGGGACACAGTTGACTCCAGTGATGCTCAGGGTCAAGGGAACGCTCCACATAGTCAATCTCCTGGTTTCTCAAGCAGACAGCTCCAAAATGGTTGTGGCCCCAGACTCTGCTAGCTTCTTCAGCTGTCTGGGCCTCCCAGTCTGAAGAACTTGTCCCCCACTAGCATCCTCTCTGTCTCTCCAGTGTTCTCATATGGGTATTGTCTCGGAGATGAGTTCACACCTCTCAGTGTGTTAGCAAGGAGTGCTCACCTCTTTGTACGCTACATTAGAAAAGGCAGCAGCTTGCCTTCATCTGATCACTGAACAAACAAATGGTTCATAGAACAGATGCACAGATGTTGCTGACAATAGATGAGTGTTCTCCAATATGATCTGGAATGTGAGCTGAATCAGACACAACTGCAATCCTTTTCAACTCTGCTACTTTCTGGGGATAACATAAAATCATGCAATCTAGTGGCTACTAATTATTGATCACTCCTAACACCTTCTAAAAAAAACTCAAAGTTGGCCCCAGTTAGGCAAACAAAAACGGAAAAGTTGAGCCAACTTCTCCACAACTGACACTTCTTTTACCCTCAATCAAATAGCAGAAATGGTTCCATGTCCACAGTCTACTTTACCATAAACCGTAACTGGTTTCATGGGAATGTATGTGGATTCGATGGAAGTTACATTGGAGTCCTGGTGTGATACTGTAGGATAAACACTGGATCACCAGGTCAGTTTGAACTACAAGGTCAGCAGTTCAAACCTACCAGCTGCTCTTTGGAGACCCTATACAGGGTCACTGTGAGTCAGAACCGAATCGATGGCACCTAACAACATCATCCTTCTTCAATCAATTACCACACTACCTTGGAATTACTTTAAGATGCTGACTCAAAGAGAAAATGATATAAGTGAAAAACACACCTGCTCAAGTTTGAGGAATCAAAAGGAGAACTAATTCAGGCATGACACAGGATATTATACAAGAATAAGTGGAAAAATTATTGCTACAAAAACATAGAAATGTTTATGAAACAAAGTGTCAAAATACGAAGCTACTGTTTTATGACATGCCCTCCCCTCCATCTACGCCTATACAACCCCACTGAAAGCAGGGATTCTATCTCTGTAAGCTTTCCCCAAGGAATTCTGTGCTTTTCAATTGACACCACATCAAAATAGCAGTTTTTATACTCTCAAGGGACTCAAATTGTGTTCTCTTTCAATATTCTTTGAATTTTGTGAACAAAAAGATTAGCAATGTAGAGTGAATAGGGTAAGTTTTCCCAACAAGATTCACATGGGGCGGTTCTTGATACCCTCCAAGAATGAAGAGGTGTACTGCCATGCTGGAAAAAAATTCCTTGGCACAACCTTCCTTGGCCTTTTTCTCACTGATTCATTTTTCAGTTTTCTTAAAACTTCTTCATAATAAGATACCATGATTGTTCTGTGTCCTTTGAATAAATTTACCAAGAATGTTGTTGCTAAGTGCCAGCAAGTCAGTTCTGACTCATAGCTATCCTGTATAGGGTTTCTGAGGCTGTAAACCTTTACAGGAGCAGAAAGCTTCATGGTTTTCCCACGGAGCCACTGGTAGGTTCAAATGGCTGACTTTGTGGTTCATAGTCCAGTGCTTATCCTACAGAGCCACCACCATGGGAATCCCCCCCAAAAATCACCATAATTTCTGAGTTGTCCTCTCTAATTTGAATTTAACAGGCCCAGCAGATCTCCTCAGAAATCATGGTTCTGATTGGATCTAAAGCACACACACACACACACACACAAACCTCCCTCCCCCAGGTACCTAAAAAACGTAAATGCTCTTATAATGCTTCTTGCCTACAATTAGCTTTGTGCAAAACCATTAACAGTAATAACAGTAACTTTTAATAAGAAGAATTAATAGCTCTTAAGACTTAACACACGTAATGATTTCTCTTCCTCAAGACAACTTTGAAAGTTTTGGGAGGTTGAATAGCAGTGAAAAAAATAATAGAGCCCAGAGTGGAATGTTAGTCTAATTCTAGAATCCAGGTTTTTTAACTTCTGTATCATACTGCCTTTCCAAGAAACAAAACAGGCATTATAAAACAAAGATAATAAACTACCTCATAGCATCAAAAATAATTACAACCTCAAATTTTAGATATCAACAAGCAATACATTTTAATTGCCTAAAGAAAAGGATAATTTTAAAAGATTTCTTTTTCCATATGAAATAATGTTTAAAAGGATAACTACCTTTCTTTAAATGGTAAAGAAGTTTTGACTGAAATGAGACGTGAGAAATCATCTCTTTTCAAACTGTTCTCACTGAATTGCATGTATGAAAAATGGTGAATGGGCTAATGTCGTGTTATCTATATTTTTAAAATAAAAAAAATTTTTTTTTCAAAAGCAAAAGGTTAGCTGGGGAAGATGTATACTATTCAACAATTCCTCCTTGTTCTGGCTTTAGAAGAAAATCCTGCCTAATCTTATCTCCTACTAGCACTACTGAGTCAGAAGTGAGAAAGGAAATAAGTCCATTCTCTCTGTTTCCTGGAAAGAATTTATATAACTCTTCCAGAAAGTAGGAGTCAGTGAGGAAATGAGACACAACAATATCCTAGGATAGCTAGCTAGAATTACTCTTTTCCAGAAATGAGTAGTCATCAGTAGCATGGAAATGAAAACATTTCCCACAAAGGAAACATTGACTCAATTGGTAACTATGCTCTGCTTGGAATCTTACTTGAAGGTCCAATACCAATTTTGCAGGGCTTATCCACTAATGCTTTTTTGTCAAAAGCAACCAGGGTATGGAAGAAAGAGTGCTGGTGCTAAAGTCAAAAAACTAGTACTTGATCCCAGCTTCCTCAACAAAATAAATACCACTGCCTCTCTCCAAACCCAGAAGGTCACTTGGAGCAACAAGAGACTATCATTGTTTCCAACAATCACTTTAAAATTAAGAAACTAAACCAGGAGCTCTGTTTATTTATTCATTTACTTTAAAGCAAAATGTCTTCTCTATTTAATCACAATGATACACAAATACCCCATTATAAGCCAACAGTACACCACCAGAAAGTTGAGTGGTTAAGACATTGGACTTGAGATCCAATGGGCGAGTCACCATGGGGGTTTGAACTCCATTCTTGGTAGATGGGTTTTTCAACTCTAGAATCCTTCTTGCATATCACTTTCTGAAAACATGCGTAACAATTTGTCTGTTGTCCATTATAACCCAAACAAATCCTCGCTGCATCATCGTTAAGATACCTAAATATTCACCGAGTGGTTTCTACACACACTAGAAAAATTCACATTTGATGCTCATAGCTGCCCTATGTGGCAGGTTTTTTAATGCCCATTTTTCTGATGAGGAAACTATGGATCAGAAAGTTAAAGTCACATGTCCACAACCATCTGGTAAGTGAAAGAATTGGAATATGAACCCAGGATCTATGTTAGGAAACAGTTTGTTACATTGCTGCCTGAAAGAGGTATCACTAAAATTTTCTAGATAATTACACATTCATCTCTTGGGTAATCATTACACACTATTTTTGGCATCATATTTGGTTGGAAAAGAAAGGTAGTGACCAAGCATTCTCGGGGTAACCACAAATAGTATGGTTGTTACTGCTAAGTGCTGTTGCTGCTAAACCCTATATAGGGTTTCTGAGTAGTGGCGGGTGGGTTTGAACTGCTGACCTTGCAATTAGCAGTCCAATGCTTAGCCTACAGTACTATACTAAGACTCCAATCATAAGGTAGTTAAATGAAAAATTCTACAATGAGCATCCTAAAGAAAAATAAACTAATATCCAAAGCACCTTAAACATCCAATGTGAGACATTATCCAAATTATGTTTTTCCAATAAAATAGATGATCATAAAAGATACGTTGAAGAACACATAAAGACCTAAGACAGCTTTATAATAGAGTCCTCATGTGGTGCTACAGGATAAGCATTGGACTGCTAACTACAGGTCAGCGTTGCAAACCCACCAGCCACTCCTCGGAAACTCTATACAGGGTCGCTGACTCAAGCCAACTCAACCGCACTTAACCACATGAAGAAGCTTTATCATATATTACTTAGGGAGAGGAAAGAAAGCTCAAACAAAATGAGGTTAGAGGGGATATATGTAAGGCAAAAAGTCATCATTATCATCATTGAATATCATATACCAAAATAATTATTATGGTCTCAATGATTTAAAGATTTTTACTTTCTTCTTTGTGTTTTTCAATTTGTCCATAAGGTAAAATGTATTAGCTGGATCATCAGGGGAGCACAATGCTAAGAAAATGAGAAGTTTGGTTACCTGGCATGTATCTGAAGGTTAACATCTGCTGACGTATCTACATACGGAGGAGATCCAAAGTACAAGATCATACTCACTGTCATGGAGCATAGTCAAAAACAGCCCACCTGTTGGCATCAAAGCCGGGCAGCAAATACATTTTGGCTAGTTAATTATACTGCTTGTATATGATTCAAGAATCTGAAACCAAGTCCAGTTGGGGGAACCCAAACTAGAACAAATCACTCTCTAGTCCAGAAAGAATTTTGTTGTTGTTAAGTGCCATCACTTCTGACCCACAGCAACCCTGTATAGAGTTTCCAAAGAGCAGCTGGTAAGCTTGAACCACCAACCTTGCAGTTCAAACGGCTTTGCAGTCTGGCACATTAACCCACAGTGCCACACCAGGACTCCAGTCCAGAAAGAATGCTTGAATCTAAAAGACCAAATGCATTAAGGGTATCATAGGTTTCACCCTCAACTGGCAGAGAAATTTAAATGAGCAGACTGTTATTTGAATACAATATTACTTCTGGAAAATATCTGTGGCAATACTTACCAATCTTACAAGAGTATAAACTGTAGTTGCTTACCTTCAATCCATTCACTGTGAGCTGTCACAGCAAACTTCTGACCATCCAGGGTATAAAATTCTCCTTGGGCAAGAGCCTTCCCTCCACTACTATGATTTTCATAGTTTCTCACAGATTCATTGCAAGAAGAACTTCCACCATCAATGACACCAACTAAAGCCCAAGCTTGCCTAGAAGGAAAAAGAATGTGTGCATCTGATTATCTGCCATGATAATGAACCAAATCCCTGACACAGATATTATGGTGGATACTGTTTCAGTCTTAAATTTCACTGCTGTTCATCACTACAATCTCTTTTTCAAGATTTCCAAACTTTGACAAAACCAACGTCATAGAAGGAAATGAGCACAAATATACTTGTTTGTCCAGCTTGGTAGCACTGATGACTTCAGTTAATCATTGTCTTCCTCAATACACACCCATCTTCTTCTTCCTGTTAAGTCAGTTCTGTTGAGTCAGTTTTGACTCATAGCAACCTTGTACAGGATTCCCGAGGAGCAGCTAATGGATTTGAACTTCCAACCTTGTGGTTTGCCGTCCAGTGCTGATCTTATCCACATATAAATTCTGGCCACATATCAATTTAGTTTCCTCATTTTAAAGTGATTATAACCTGTACTTATTTGAATACAACATAATAGAATCACACAGGAACTTAAGAACTATAATTAGTGCTTAGGACCAGAGGTGCATAATCCAATAAGCAAGATAAGCACAGGCTTTCTTGTGCTTGCTCACTAATTCATCAGTGAAAAATATGACTGTTTACTGAAAATTAGTAAGTACGCACAAGGAAGCCTGTGCTTACCTTGCTTTCTGGGCACTCCATAACTTGCAGGGATTATAAATTTGACGAGCAGTTTTGATTTCTGCAGGAAGATGTTGTGGGGTTAGGAGAGACACAGATCAATACCAGCCAGACCTATAAACAATCTTTGATGTAGTGAAAAACTATGAAATTGTTCACTGCTGGACATGGTGGTTGTATGTCAACTGGGTTTCAATTCACAGTGATCCTGCATTGGGTTTCCAAGGCTGTAAATCTTATGGGAGCACAAAGTCTCATCTTTCTCCCGTGGAGCAACTGGTAGCTTCGAACTACTGACCTTGAAGTTAGCAGCCCAACTTGTAATTCACTACATTTCCAAAGCTCCTAGAAATTGTTTGCTACAATTCAGTAAATAAGCATAAGGAAGCCCTTGCTTATCTGACTTATTCAATAATCCATGCTCAGAACCCACCTCAGGCCAACCTCTAAGGGTCGGGGAGTCTGGCATTGGAAGTATCCTTATGCTTCCAAATCTCTCCAGGTGATTCCAAAGTGCACTCAAACTTGATAGTCATTGAATTCTATTTTAGTAAGCAAAGCATCACCTGGAGGAGTTGGTAAATGAGCTTGCTGGGTCCCCACCCTTGACTTTCTGAGGTGGTTTTTGTTAACTGCCATGAGTCTGCTCCAACTCATAATGATCCAAGGAGTAGCTGGTGAGTTTGAACCAGTGACCTTTTGGTTAGCAGTCCAGTGCTTATCCTACAGCACCATACCAGGGTAGGGCCTAAGACTTTACTTCTTTAACAAGTACCCAGTTAATAATGCTGGTTAACACGCTGTGAGTTAATGCACTGGATTGCAAGGTTGATCTGAACCACAAGGTCATCGATTCAAGCTCACCAGCTACTTCTCAGCAACCCTATACAAGGCAGATTCAATGGCACTTAACAACAACAACAGGTAATACTGATGTTTCTGGGCTGGGAACCATCCTTTGAGAAGTCCTGGATTAATAAGGCTGGATTCTACAACAGTAGTTTTAATGTTGTTAAGTGTTGTTGAGTAAATTCCGTCTAGTAGAGACACTGTATAGTGTTTCCGAGGAGCAGCTTGTGGGTTTCAACTGCTGACTTTAAGATTAGCAGTCTAGTGCTTATCCTATAGCACCACACCAGGATTTAAAGATACTAAAGCAGTAGTTCTCAACCTCCACTGCACTTTAATTATGTTGTTGTTGTTAAGTGCCATCAAGTCAGTTCCAACCCATAGCGACCCTGTATAGAGTTTCCAAGGAGTGACTGGTAAGCTTGAAACACCGATCTTGCAGTTCAAACGTATTTGCAGTCTGGCACATTAACCCACAGCGCCACACCAGGACTCCACGCTGTAATTATATGGAGACCTTATTTCCACTCCCTATACTCAGATCCTGAGGTTAACTGGTCTAAAGTGGGGCCTTGCAATTAGATTATTAAGTCTCCTAGGTTGGTACCAAGGAAAAAACAAACAGAAAAACACTAGAGCTTCCAGGTTTCTTAACATTCTTAAATCAAAATTATACAGTCATTATCTGAAAGATTTTTAACTTTCATATGCTATATATTTATTTACTAAAAGCAATGTTTAAGATACCATTTTATTTCTGTGATTCTAAACATTCCAGAGTCTTGCTCTAGCTTGTGGCCAAATCAATCAAAGAGAAAGGACAATGACAAAAAGCCACAAAATTTGCCTTAAGTTTCCTGGTTTAAAACATGAAAAGAAAAACTTCCTACTGGAGAAAAAAAATTCCAAATGTAATCTATGCCAGACAGATGGTTAGATATACACAGATAAAAGTTAACCAAAACATGCCTACGCTCATAAACTCCACTCTTCCCTGTGTGGATTAGCTACTCTTTGTCTGACAGAGCTTTATACCTCTATTTATATCCCTTTAGACAATAGAGAGAATCAAACAAAAAAATGTCTCAATTTATTATCTCCTATTTAAGAGGGAAAGAGAGGCAGAATAACAGAGGCGTCTTTTATTTGCCAGAAGTGCCTGAGCAATTATAAGACAATGTTCTATTCAACCGACACTATCTTCCAAACACTCCTACTTCCCTCCTCCACTGCAGAAAAATTTCAATATACCAGGACGTTATCTTCAAAGGGTTATGTGTCTACGTACACTGGAGATAAAGCCCATGCAATGGAACATTGGCAAAAGATCACAATTCTTTCATTCCTTCCTCAGAGTCTCAGCAATATGTTAATGGGAACTTTGAAACCAGTAACAAAATGAACCAAACAAGAAATTCAAGCAAAACATTTCCAGCTAATGATTACACAAAGCAAGAAACAAGAATAGCATCTAAAAATAAAAGGTCCTCCCTGGCATCACTGGAGACTGAACTAAAGGTATGTCTCTAAATTGGAAAAGACCATATTCATCTTTCTAGGTCTATACAAAGGAGCTCTGGTAGCATCGTGGTTACAAGTTGGGCTACTTACCTCAAGCTCAACATTGCTCTGGACTGCAATCTTGGTTTTAATCTCAAGGTCGGCGGTTCAAGCTCACCAGCCACTCCTTGGAAACCCTATGCCAGGGTCGCTATGAGTCGGAACCAACTCAATGGCACTTAACAACAACAATATACATGGACTAGAAACAGACAGCACTGAAAACAAGCAAACACTCCAGGCAACAACATGAGTGACATTCAATCATACAGCACTGAGCAAAGAAACCAGATGCAAAATGTTACATATTGCCTGATTATATTTTTATAAAATTCAAAAACCGGCAAACCTAAACCTGAATGTCACCCCATTTCCGGAGAGCGGTTGCCTTGGGTAAGTGGAAGAAATGAAGAGTGTATAGGAAGGGACAGAGAAGGGGTTCTGGGCTAATGCATTTCTTGACCTGGGTTAGTGCCTACACACTGTCACACCTCACTGAGCTCTAAATGGTTATTTCTTTTCTGGATGTGCATTAGTGGTGGTATGCCGTCAAGTAAGTTCCGACTCATAGTGACCATGTATAGCGCTTGTTGTTGTTAAGTGTCGTCAAGTCTGTTCTGACCCACAGCAACCCTGTGTAGTATTTCCAAGGAGCGGCTGGTGAGCTTGAACCGCTGACCTTGTGGTTCAAACTGACTTTGGAATCCAGCGCATTAACCCACAGCATCATACCAGGGACTCCACAGGGTTTACAAGACTGTAATTCTAAGCCTCATCTTTCTCCCTTAGAGCACAGCTAGTGAATTCAAACTGCTAGCTTTTAACAGCCCAATGTATAATCCACTATTGCTACCAGGGCTCCTTGGATGTACACTGTTGGTTGTTAAGTGCCATTGAGTCAGTTCTGACTCATAGTGACCCTATATAGTGTTTCCATTGCTTTAAATCTTTTCAGGACCAGAAAAAGCCTCATCTTTCTCATGGAGAGGATGGTGGGCTTGAATCATCAGGCTTGTGGTTCGCGGTCCAGTATTTATCCTATAGAGCTACTGTGCTCATAGGGATACATATTAGGCTTCAAAAAAAAAAAAAAATGTTTTTAAACTGCTTGTTCCACACATACCTCTGAAGTTTTACACATACTGTTCCCTATGATTGGAAAGCCTACAGCCCACTTCTAAACTTCCTTCAGGTCTCCCACCTTTGAGAAATCGCCAATGACTCCCTAGGCCAGTTTAGGGGCTCCTTCTATATGTTATCACTATAGCCTATGTTGTTGGTATTAAGTGCCATCGAGTCAGATCTGACTCATAGGGCCCCTGTAGAGAGCTTCCAAGGAGTGGATGGTGGGTTTGAACTGCCGATGCTGTGGTTAGCAGTCCAGTGATGATCCTACAAGCACCTCAACAGGACTGAAACAAATAGCACATTGTATGATCATCACTTACTTACTTCATCTTGTTAAGTGTGGTCAGGTTCGTTCTGACTCATAGCAACCCTCTATAGCATTTCCAAGGGATCGTTAGTGGGTTTGAACTATCAATCTTGCAGCTACTAGTCCAGTGCTCATTCAGTGCTACATATATTTATTGTTGTTAAGTGCTGTCGAGTGGGTTCCAACTCATAGTGACCCTGTATAGCATCTAGCATGTCCAAGAAGCAGCTGTAGAGTTTGAAATGCCAACCCTGAGGGTTCAAACTAACCTTGCGGTTCCAGTGCCTATCCTATAGAGCCACACCAGGACTCCCACATCTATCTAGGTCTTTGTTTTTATTCTGAACTGAATAATAGTTTACATGGGAGAACATCAGCTTTACACCATCATTTCACTGCAATGATTACAATCTCCTTCGTGCATCATCATTCAATAGGATTTGCTGCCTTTCCCTCTATTTTTTGGGGGGGGAGAGGGGGGGAATGTACACAAAAACACTCAAGAATTTATAATTATTTAAACAACCAAAGGGCACATTCTGCAAGTCTGCCTCCAGACCACCAGCTCTCAGTCCCTCTCTTTCCATGAATCTAGAGTCCTTGCTCCCTCTCTCTATGTCCTCATCTTTGCCTCCATCTCTGGTATCGCTGCTTCTCTGGATAGGGTTCCACATTCTGCTTTTGTTCTTCTACCTTGATGGTCCTAGGGTCCTTTGTTTCTGGACTGTAAGATTAACTACTTCCACATTTTTGTTACAAAATTTCTACCTTTACAATTGTGACAGTCACAATTAGTCATGATAACAATTAGTCACTATTGAATCATAAGAATCTTATCACCATCTCTTTTCACCAGACCCCTCTAGACAAGATGAAAACTACTCTAGGTCTTATTTTATCTATTAAGGTCACTGAGGACTCTAACACGGTGTTCTTTTTTCTAAGTATCTATAGTAACAAGTATTGTTGTTGTTAAGTGCCATCTAGTCCGGTTCCAACTTATAGCGACCCTGTATAGGGTTTCCAAGCAGTGGCTGGTGAGCTTGAACCACCAACCTTGTGGTTCAAACTGACCTTGCAGTACAGCACATTAACCCACAGTGCCATCCCAGAACTTCAAGCAGTACTTCTGTTGTTGTGTTCAAGAGCCATCAAGTCACTTACGACCCATAGTGACCCTGTATAGGATTTCCGAGGTGCAGCTGGTAAGCTTAAACAGCCAACGTTGTGGTTCAAACTAATTTTGAAGTCCAGCGCATTAACCCACAGCAGCACACCAGTACTTAGCATCTCCTAAATATTCCTGGGTGAATAAAAAGCCATTTAAAAAACATCATGGAACAAAGTATATGATGTGGTGAATATAAAACTGATGATCTGCCTTGTAAACTTTCACTCAATTCACAATAAAAACTTCAAAAAACAAAACCATGGACCCCTTTTCTTCACTAAGTTTGTCGCTTTAAATTTCTTTAGGATTTCTGTAGATAGTTCAAATCCATCAATCTACCACTAAAGAAAAAATAAACCACTAGTTTCATCATGTGGCTTCTGAAGTCCTCTTACTTTTTGCTGTAGATATTCAAACATTTACTAAATTAAAAGTCCATTTGTTGTTGTTGTTTTAAATTAAAGTTGAGTTAACTATTTCCATAGATGCGGGACTGACTACAGGAAAAAACCTTGGTTGTCTAGAAAATGCACCAAAAATCTATTCTGAGTTGAGATCTAACCAATAGATGGATTTCCTAGCCCTCCAGACTTTTTCTTTCCTCATATGTTGTTGTTGTTAAATGCTGTGGAGTCAGTTCAGACTCATAGCGTCCCTGAACAGGGTTTCCGAGGCTGTAACTCTTTACGAGAGCGGAAAGCCTCATCTTTCTCCCACGGAGCAGCTGGTAGTTTCGAACTGCTGACCTTGTGGTTCGCATCCCGACTCGTAACCACTACGCTACCAGAGCTCCTTTTCCCCATATAGACCGGGGGCTTTAAAGATCTGGACCAATCACCAGTTCGGGGTTGTCAGATTATCAAATAGATTTGACTTAGTATATATAGAATTCAAAAGAAAACGAAAACTGTTTATTCCACCTTCTCCAGCTTAGTTTTTAAAACAGGTTTCACATGTTAACATGTATGAAATTGTGTCCTATCCTTTCACCTCTGAAATTACCTCAATTAGCCTGAGTTTCATATTACTTTCAGAAGGTAATGAAAGAAGGAAACATTGTCTGATGCAAATTGTTCTTTAACTACATGATTGCTCTTCAATATAACATTTCTGTTCTGAACTTTTCACAAGCCTAACAGTACAGAGCATAAAGGACTTCATCAACCAGAGCTCAAAGCTGCAACCATCCATATTCTGGCCTCGAAATCCCATGTTTCAAAGCAAGAGGTAAACTGATTGACACATAGTTGTGGCCACTCAGGCACCTGGATGTGCTATGCTATCTTTCTCCCTTTGTTTAGTCTCACACAGAAATGGTTTCAATACGTGGCTGAGAAGGAAAAAAAAAAAAGCATGCCTACTGTGTAGAGTTGCAGGATAATGCGTTGGACTGCAAGGTCAGTTTGAACCTCAAGGTCGGTGGTTCAAACCCAC